GATCGCCATCACGTTCAGCATCACTTAATTGTTTTAATAGTAAAAGAGCAAGACCATCATCTAGACACAATATTTAAATTGAAATGTATTTCTAAATAAAAAAAAAGACTAATCAACTGAATTCTTTACCTTTAGCAAAACTATTAGCATCAACACTAAATGATCGACTTCTTCCACCAGGTGATTGTGCACCAATAAATGAATGTTGTAGAAAACTTTCTGGTGTAAGAATCCATTAACACCACCACATACAGCCATATCAGCTTCATTTGTACGGAGACATTGCACAGCCATATGTAAAGTTTCTCAAGATGATGAACAAGCAGCATCTGATGATACATTTGGATCATGTAAATTAAAATGATATAATAAACTATTAGGTCTATAAAATCTTGATTCGATGTTCAGGTCTCATACGAGCTGCTGCAATTGCATGATCTGTTGAAAATTATCCAGTATGCACTGATGTTTTTGTACCTGACATTTTTCCAACACTATATTCAGCACCATCAAGTAAATCAACAAATTTTAATATAAGTGATCTATGACATGGATCAATATTGGCTGGTTCAGCATCTGACAAAACCAAAAGAAATTGGTTTAGATTTATCTCATTGTTGATTTGACATAAAATAACCAACACGAAGAAGTTGTTGACGAAGTTGTCCATTATTATTCATATTATGCATATGAGCAGTAAATGATTCAAGATCAAATCGATCAATTGATGTTGCAGTACCAACATCTTAACTTTCTTTTAATGTATACCATAAATCATTTGCACAATGAATATCACCTGCGAATTCACATGCTATACCTATAACAGCTATTGGTTCTAGAAGGGTGTTGGAGGATGTCATTTAAGCTTGTTAAAGATGGTTTCATTGCCCAATGCAGAAATTAAAGCAAACTGTTAAGTTCTTTTTATCTAAAATGAAAAATTTGAGGAACACATTATATTAGGAACATGACATCAAAGTGAAAGATATTTAGCTATTTCGATTCAACAACGAAAAACACATCAATATTGTTCTAGGCTTTTCTGGTTCGCTTGTGGACCATCTCTCATGTTGGGTGTGGGTAAGGAGTTGGTAGGTGTTGTACTTATCTCTAAAGTACGTCTATCTCATCCACTTCACCCACCCTCAAACTATCAAATACTTTAAAAATAAAAAAACAAACTTGAGAAAGATTTTGTCTTTTTTAAATTTGCTTTTCTT